CCGGATGCCTTCGGTGGCACAAGCGCGACTGATTCTCCAATTGACAAGTGGGGACCACCACATATCCTCTCCCAGCAGCAAAACCGTATTGAAGGTGAATGAACACCGCCGACTATGAGCGTCTGGGACCCTTTCAGAGCCCCGAAATGACAGTTACAACCAATAGACATGCCATCGCGACGGTATATATAGCGTTTCCTCCAGCTCAAATTACTCACATATTGCCTCTACCTCATTTTACGGTTGACTTATCCTAACTACCTTAATGTTTTGAGATGTGCCTCGGAAAGCGAAAATGTGTACAATTTTAATGATTAGATGATTGATTGCTCCATGTGTGTCTATTGACTGCGTCCAATCCTTCTTGCAGTGAGCCTGTCGGACTGATTCGCTTGACGTTATTTCAATATATAATGATCTTTGGTTATGCTCACGGTTGTTTCTCTCACCTAATGACGTAGGCGTGATTGGCCAGTCGACGTGGTCATCCGCAAAAACCCGCACCGGGAAATGGTCATACCCGGCCGGCCAAGTGTGGCGGTACCTCGCTGCTCGCAGCCGGTAACTTCGGCCCGCTTGGCAGGGTGTGGCTGAGTCAGCAACGTGGCTTCCGCAGAAGGAAAACAGACAGCCACAGCCACAAGGCCGTCATAGCCGTAGATCCGGCAAACCCTCTCTCGCTCCTAGGATCCTGCTTCCTTGTTCTCTCCTGTCTCCCGACTTGAGGTTCTTTTGCAACCTAGCTCTCCTCTCCCCCCAAATCCTTATTTTCTATCCAGAGTGCGTGCGCTCTCTGATGAGTCCCGTTTTGTGCAGGTGCTACGGCAATTCTAGTCGACACCTGTTTTCTGTGACACATCGTGCGTCTTCCCTTCCCTTGGCCCGTCTGAAATTCTCGGCTGCTTTGGTAACAACAGTCGACGAGTAAAAATATGCTAACGGACTGACTAGGTCTCTTATATTTGATTTGCATTCCTATATCTTTTGAACTCTTAGAGCCTTCGTAATAGAAGCGCTTCCAACACTTGTTACATCGTGGTTCCTTGTTTTCTGTTGACGCTGTAAAAAAAAAAAAATCCCGCAATGCTTCGTACCACAGCCATCAAGGCCACCGGCAGCGGTATGCTGCGCGGTGTTGCCGCTTCAGCCTCCAGGAGGTCTATATCTCTTGCTTCTACTGCCAGACATGCCTCTTCCAGCCAGAGCTCAAAATTTGGCTTGACCACGAGACGACCTCTCGCCGTTGTTGATCGTTTGTCCAACGGCAGGAGAGCATACGCCGTCTCCGCCGAGGACACGAATAAGGGTGTGGTAAGCTACATAATGTCTTGAGATTGATATACTGCAAAGTGAAATAGTTCCGACTGACCCGCTTGGCGCGAATCGCGCGTGTTCTTCATAGGATCCCAATGATTCCTTCCTCTCGGGCAACACTGCAAACTATATCGACGAGATGTACCTGGCGTGGAAGAACGACCCGTCAAGCGTCCACATCTCGTGGCAAACCTACTTCAAAAACATGGAGGACGGTAACATGCCTGTCTCACAGGCCTTCCAACCACCCCCGACAATCGTCCCTACCCCGACCGGTGGTGTTCCCCAAACAATGCCTGGCGCTGGCCTGTCTATGGCTGCCGGCACCGACGTCACGAATCACTTGAAGGTTCAGCTACTCGTTCGCGCCTACCAGGCACGTGGTCACCACAAGGCCAAGATTGACCCTCTGGGCATTCGTGGCGAGGCTGAGGCCTTCGGCTACAACAAGCCCAAGGAACTCGAGCTTGATCATTATGGATTTACCGAGCGCGATTTGGATGAGGAGTTCACCCTTGGCCCTGGTATCTTGCCGCGTTTCGCTACTGAGAGCCGTAAGAAGATGACCTTGCGCGAAATCATCGCTACTTGTGAGAGTATCTATTGTGGCTCTTACGGCGTGGAGTACATCCATATCCCTGATCGCAAGCCTTGCGACTGGATCCGTGACCGCTTCGAGATCCCCGAGCCTTACAAGTACTCTGTTGATGACAAGCGCCGCATCCTCGACCGTCTCATTTGGAGTCACAGCTTCGAATCCTTCCTTGCCACCAAATTCCCCAACGACAAGCGTTTCGGTCTCGAGGGTTGTGAATCGCTCGTTCCTGGTATGAAGGCCTTGATTGACCGCAGCGTTGACTACGGTATCAAGGACATTGTCATCGGTATGCCCCACCGTGGCCGTCTCAATGTTCTGTCCAACGTCGTCCGTAAGCCGAACGAGTCCATCTTCAGTGAGTTCGCTGGCTCCGCCGAGCCCTCCGATGAAGGCTCTGGCGATGTCAAGTACCACTTGGGTATGAACTTCGAGCGCCCTACTCCTTCTGGTAAGCGTGTCCAATTGTCTCTGGTTGCCAACCCATCCCACTTGGAAGCCGAAGACCCCGTGGTTCTCGGAAAGACCCGCTCTATCCAGCACTACAACAAGGACGAGAAGAATTTCGACTCTGCTATGGGCGTGTTGCTGCATGGTGATGCGGCCTTTGCTGGACAGGGTGTCGTGTACGAGACCATGGGCTTCCACTCCCTGCCTGCTTACTCCACTGGCGGTACCATCCACATCATCGTGAACAACCAGATTGGTTTCACTACCGATCCTCGCTATTCCCGTTCCACCCCCTACTGCTCGGACATCGCTAAGTCGATTGACGCCCCTGTCTTCCACGTCAACGGAGATGATGTTGAGGCCGTGAACTATGTCTGCCAGGTTGCCGCAGACTGGCGTGCGGAGTTCAAGAGCGATGTTGTCATTGACATTGTCTGCTACCGTAAGCAGGGTCACAACGAGACCGATCAGCCCTCTTTCACCCAGCCCTTGATGTACAAGCGTATTGCCGCTCAGAAGAACCAGCTTGACAAGTACGTCGAGAAGTTGATCACTGAGGGTACCTTCACTAAGGAGGACATCGACGAGCATAAGAAATGGGTCTGGGGAATGCTTAACGACAGCTTCGACCGTAGCAAGGATTACCAGCCTACTGGCAAGGAATGGCTGACCTCCGCATGGAACGGATTCAAGACCCCCAAGGAGCTGGCCACCGAGGTTCTGCCTCACCTCCCCACTGGTGTTGAGGGTCCTCTTCTGAAGCACGTTGCTGACAAGGTTAGCGGTGCTCCGGAGGGCTTTACTCTGCACCGTAACCTGAAGCGTATTTTGTCCAACCGTAAGAAGACCGTGGATGAGGGCAAGAATATCGACTGGTCCACCGCTGAGGCTCTTGCTTTCGGCTCCCTCGTTTCGGAAGGCTACCATGTCCGTGTCTCCGGTCAGGATGTCGAGCGTGGTACTTTCTCCCAGCGCCATGCTGTTGTGCATGACCAGGAGAACGAGAACACCTATACCCCTCTGCAGCACATCTCCGAGGATCAAGGCAGCTTCGTTATCTCTAACTCCTCTTTGAGCGAGTTCGGAGCCCTTGGGTTCGAATACGGTTACTCCCTGACCTCCCCTAACGCCCTCGTGATGTGGGAAGCGCAGTTTGGTGACTTCGCCAACAACGCTCAGTGCATTATTGACCAGTTCATTGCCTCGGGAGAATCCAAGTGGTTGCAACGCTCCGGTCTTGTTGTCTCCTTGCCCCACGGTTACGATGGCCAGGGCCCAGAGCACTCCTCCGGCAGAATGGAGCGCTGGTTGCAGCTCTGTAACGAGGAACCGCGTATCTTCCCCTCTCAGGACAAGCTTGACCGCCAGCACCAAGACTGCAACATGCAGATCGCATACATGACCGAACCTTCCAACCTGTTCCACATCCTGCGTCGTCAGATCCACCGCCAGTTCCGCAAGCGTATGTACTTTCCTTCTGTTTTGCATGGACTACACTAACTTTCATTCAGCTCTTGTGATTTTCTTCTCGAAGGCACTCCTGCGTCATCCGATTGCCCGCTCTAATATTGAGGAGTTCACTGGCGACTCTCACTTCCAGTGTATCATCCCTGACAATGCTCACGGCTCTGCCATCGATGAGCCTGAGAAGATTGAGCGTGTCATCCTGTGTTCCGGACAAGTTTACACTTCTCTGTTGAAACACCGTGAGGCCAATGGCATCCGCAACACTGCCATCACTCGTATCGAGCAGCTCCACCCCTTCCCTTGGGCACAGCTCAAGGAGAACCTCGACAGCTACCCCAACGCCCGCAACATTGTCTGGGCTCAGGAGGAGCCTCTGAATGCAGGTGCTTGGAGCTACACTCAGCCTCGCATTGAGACTCTGCTGAACGAGACGGAGCACCACAACCGTCGCCACGTTCTCTACGCTGGTCGTTCCCCCAGTGCATCCGTTGCCACTGGTCTCAAGAGTGTCCATCTGAAGGAAGAGCAGGAATTCCTCGAAGAGGCCTTCTCCGTTCACCAGGAGCGGTTGAAGGGCGAGTAAGCTTGTGGATAGTTTAGAGCAAGGGATATAATAGCCTGTACTAGGTGCCTTGTCTTCAGAGAAATGAGGCAGCGAACACTCGCTTTAGTCTTCTTTGTATGATTTCCTTTGTTGACAACGTCCTAATCTACAGTCGTGCTTGTGTTGGAACGTTAGATTTCTGATTTCTGACACACGCTACATGGTCTGGCCTGTTTATACCTAGCAAGTGTCTTTTGTGTGTGCGTGTAAATTAAAGATTTGATATACAATTTACTTTTTCTTTTCTGCAAGTGTTGATTCGCATCACTGGGGGTAAACGAAGTATATGAAGGACCAGTCTTAAGTTAGGGCTGTGATGATGACGTCAGACCATAGGGGATGGTTATTCAGCAGTGTTTGGAGCCTTAGGTTAACCACAGGCACCAATCACCTGACGCCGACCCAAAGGGGAAAGCGATTCTGCCGTTCTCCGCACTTGGAGGACTTCGTCGCTTCGTCCCTCACCTGTCCATGCCCCAGCGGTCGTGTTCCTGGCGGGTTATCATCGGTGATTGCCTGTTTCCTGACTGATTTGGGTCTTTGGTGCTGTGTCCCTTACACGCCATCACAATGTCTTCCGCCGTCTCATCGTCGGCCGTCAACTCCCGGCAATCGGTGCGCCAGACACGGACAAATCCATCAAGAACTTCCAAGACCCTTGGACGGTCCTCCTTTGCATATGGTCATGGCTCATTTACCGACACACCTCCTACTCCGCCTGTTGCCCATGGTTTCTACCCCGCTCTCACCCATTTCACTGACGCCATTACCGCCCTCCCGCGAGAGTTTCGCCGGCACAATTCCCTGTTGAAAGAGGTCGATGCTAAAGCGTGGGCTCTTGAGGATAACCTCCAGCAGCTACTTAAGGCCTCATCAGAGTTACAAGCAGCTCCCCCTCTGACACAAGCGCCTGACAATGCTGGTGTGTCGCATGAACATCTGGCTACGGTAAGCCCATGCAAGAGTTTTCGCGGGCAGTAGATACACTCAGAAACTGTATACTAAGATGCGTCCCTAATGTACAGGGTGCTTCGCAAGCGGCCGAGCCTCAGGAGCACTCGAACCGGCATTATCTGCTCGGTCGAGTACGGCAGACCCTTCAAGACCTAATGATGACCGCAGACGAGAAGAACCACGTTATTTCCAATGCGAACGATGAACTAGATCGTCAGCTCCTTCGCCTCGACACCATTTTCCCTTTCATTGCAGGCGAGATCAGTGACGAGGCACGCTTGGGTAGTCTCACGCACTGGGCATATTCAAATAGGAATGCTGTTAAGACCACCACCAACGAGCGCCCTCGTCGTGAAGCGGCATCCAACAAGGATCTGGCCCACGCCCTTCACGAAGCAGAAGTTGCTTCTAGGAGCGAAGCGAGACGTGAGGCTGTTCTGGCACGTAAGCAACGTCGGACGCATGCCGATTCTGATTTCGACGATGCGCGCGCGGGCGGCCGTAAGGGACAATCAGGCAAGGCACGAGGTACTGCTGCGAATGATGCCTCTGCAGTTGGTCATGGTCAGGCTGGTGCATCAGGCCAGACGAAGCGACGCAAAGTCGAGCGGCCGCCAACCGTGGATACTGGGGCTGCAATGGAACGGTCTGCAAGTGGCGCTGGTGCCTCTGGTCGTGCTGGGTCCAAGGACGCCGCAGATACCACCAAGAAAAGATCTCGGGCGCCTAATGCGAATGCGGCTGGTGCACGAAAGAGGTATGCCCCATATTTCCTTGTTCGGTGCTTTCCTGAGCTTCCGACGGGCTGACTAGATCATTTAGGAACAACACTGCTGCGTCCGCTGCAAATTCTCCTGTTCTAGCACCATCCCCTCTGGTTGGGGCAGCCGCTATTCCGCGGAGCGCAGCAAGTCCTGGGCCTAATGCAGCGACCCGGCCGCAGTCTTCTCGCGCTCAACAGAATTCTACCCAAACAGCAAATGGACGCCAGAGACCATCATCTTCAGCGTCCAACCGCATGGCTAATAATAGTATGTTCGCTGGACACCTATTTCAGTGTCCTCTGATTTCGATATTTCTTAACCTCATCATACTAACATGTGCAATGCAGATAAAACCAGTGAAGCCAGAACAACACCCAAGGATACACCGAAGATGGAGACAGTCGCCATGGCGAACCAGGACGCGCATCGGGAAATGGAAAATGAGACCACAGAAGCAGCTGCATCCAAGGTATCAGCGCCCGTCAATACAAAACGAGAAGACACGGATGGAAAGCCCACCGAATCAATTGAGCCTGGTGATATCCCAGCTCCTCCAGCGCCAAACCCGCCAGCGCCAAGTAGGTCATCCAAGACGTCGACTCCCGTCCTGGCGACATTCTCCGAGCCCGCGCCGCGGGTCCGACCAACACGGAGTACGGACGCTGCACCGGCCAAACGATCGCACAAGAAGAATGGCAGTGTGCCAGTCGTGCAGCAGAGGGCGGTTTCAGAAGAGGAAGAATCCTACCATGAGGGCGACGACGAAGACGAAGAGGGAGAACCGCGATATTGTTACTGTAATGAAATCAGTTTTGGTGAGATGGTGGCATGCGACAACGACGCCTGTCCCCGCGAATGGTTCCACTTGTCTTGTGTGGGGTTGACGAAACCACCGGGGAAGAATGGTGAGTGGCTTGCACCTTTATTCGTATCTACGACGAGCTTTGCTAACCGACGCAGTCAAATGGTATTGTAACGAGTGCAAGGATAATATGCGACGAAGTCGAAGTGGCCGGTAGCCGGAAAAGCATTGCAGCATATCATGTTCACGGAGTTCGGGGGAAGTGTTTTGTACAGGCGTCTGAGTACATAAAAGGGATATATAGAATGGTATTGAAGCAAAACTTGATAGTTTCAACATCAACCAACACTCGTTAAGAACTAAATCAACTCTCTGTCGGGCCCGGTCCACCTCAAAAACACTCATTTATGTTATGCATCTCTCAAACTCTCCTCCCTTGTCTCAACCCAACTCCCGAACCCTGCCCCGCAGAGGAACCACTCGCCTCGGCCGCCGCCGCCGCCGCCGCCTCGCCCTCCAGCCTCCTCCTCAAATCCTCATACCTCTCCTCCCCACCTGACGGCCCAACCACCCTCCTCGCCCTCTCCTTCTCACCCACAACCCACGCCGGCACCCTCCACCGCGCCCCCACGCCAGGCAACATCTCCATCCGCCACGCCAACCCCACAAACCACCCAACAACAGCCGGCAACAGCGCACCGGGAAACTGCGACAGCGCCAATTGCGCCGCGACCAGATACGTCGTCGACTTATCCGAGAAAAGCAAGGTCAGGGACTTCCCCGTCGACTGCGCCGTTGCGTCGTCATCAGCGGGCTTGGAACTGGACGTCGAGATTCGGTAGCGGAACGTATGCGGGATGGAGAGGTGGTATTGCGCCAGCAAGGCGAAGATGGTCGCCGTTGGCCCAGAGGGCAGGTAGTTTAGTTTTGAGAGCGAGAGCGGACGGAGGAGGACCGTCAGGAGTAGGGGTGGGAGGAGGGTTGTGTAAGGGAAAGTTGTTAGGAGGAAGGTCTATAATCAAGGTTTTACATTCTTCATTAGCTTTCTTTTGTCTTTTCGTTCCTTCCCAGATAACTTCTCCGTCGAACTAGTATCGAATAGCCAAGAATGAAGACAGGGATGGATAAGAAATCACATACAGCCAACTTCCTCGCGCCCCATGCGCGCTCAATAACCCGTAATTGGTACACCAGCATGGCGGCGAACAGGGCCTCCGTGGAATTGGTGAAGCCCGCGACTTGCCATAGCAGGGCGCGCCAGAATTGGCCGTAGGGCCAGAAATGTGGGGAGACGTGGATCGGGGCGAGGTGTTTGATGTCGAGGACGGAGAGGGCGATGGAGGAGGCGAGGGTGTAGATTAAGAGGGTTTTCGTTAGGGGCGTGTTTGTTAGGCCGGAGGTGTGCATTTTTTTTTTTCTTTCCCGCTCTGTGGGGTTGTCTTTCTCTTGTTTTCTTGGGGATAGGTTGGGGTTTTGGGTTCGGTGGTTGAAGGGGGTGTCGAGTGGGGGTTCTGGAGGTTTCTTTGTTGGATTTCGTGATGGACGTTATTGGGGTGTTTGTTGCATTGAGGGTTGTGGGGGTGGGGGGAACCCTCTTGAGTTGTGGGAGGGGAGTTGGTGTGGGTGTTGAATTGGAGATAGAGGAGTCGGAGAGGAAGGTGCGTGAACACGTTGCGTTGAGCTCAAGGCCGGGCCGAGGCTGCGGGTTCAGTGGGGTTTTTCGGCATGCCGATTGCAACTCTAATTGATGTATAAATGCATGAATGTATGATATGATGCGCTAGCTGAACTTTCCCCCTCACACTAGAGGTTTCTGCTGCAATGACGGGGTCAATTCTAGTATCAACAACCTGGTATGTGGCATGAATTACTGCAAAGATACTGGTTATTCATCTAAGGGTTCTATTATACATCATTGCGCGGATGTTTCCTTCATCTCTTCTGCCAACGCTGCCTTATACTTCGCCTGTGCTGTTTCTAGGGCTTGAATAGTGGGCCCCATCAATTGGTTGACCGCTTTTTCACCACCCTGTATGCTCGATAGATTGAGTCGAGGTTTCTTGCCTGTGGCCTCCATGACCTCTCGTGCATGACGCTTCCGCCGGTCTACCTCCACCTGTCGCTCTGCATCTGCATCATGTGCTACTGCCTTGATTCGCTCCATGGCCCGACTCAACGAGTCGACCAAGGATGATAATTCTCCCGCACGGTCAGGGTTGCCTGACAGGAACGCCTGCCAAAACTGGTGCAGGAACTCCGTTGTAGTAGCATGCGTCAAGGTTAAGCGGTCGTAGAGGCTGCTCGACAGACCGTATGTGCCAGTAGTGGATGACACATCCGCCTGGGCTCGACGATCCCGAATCGCGGCAATGACCTGAGCCGAAGACTTCTGAAGACTGGCTCTAGACCCAGGCTGTTGGCTGTTTGCCTGCTCGTCGTCACCAAGTTCGTCCGGCTCGACAAGCCTGCCCAGTGGTGCAGTACCATCATCCGGTAGATTCTGTTCAATTTCCCTGCGCAGGTCGCTAAGGATCTTTTCTGGATCTTGCTGGGCGAACAGCCTGTTTTGTTCGTCTTCAGCGTCCTTGGTCTGGGAGGAGAAAAACCGGCTTTGGTCTCGAATATTTAATAGGACGCGGTCCGCCTCCTCATCACCGCGCAGATCGCGCAGTTGTAATTCATTATATGTATCCTCATCCATACCAACTGGTGCATGCGGATCACCATCAGCCGGTGCGACATTTGCCATGATCTTCTCACTTAGACTATTCAGGGTTCGGATGATGGGCACCTTGTCTGGTGCGGACCATCTCATGTCGAGATCAGGTCGATTTCCCCGGCGCTGACTGTTATTCACCTCATTTCCCTCTAGGTTAAGAAAATGCGGAACATGGGCCTCCCGTGGGAAATTCCCGTATTCGTCCGCCTGGAGGTATTTGTCCAGAATGGCATCGGTGGCATCAGTCTCCGAAAGCCGCTCTCCGCGCAGTTTCTTGAATAATCGACTCTGGAAGAACCGGGACCAAAACTGGGCTTCGCTCAACTTGGGCACGTTCTCATCATACACACGCCTGACAAGAGGGTGCTGGTTGAAAATCAACTGGATCTGCTCTTTGCTGATATTTAACTTGGTCACATTATCTTCCACACGCGGCTTCAGCGTCGATAGCACATTGTAAGAACCCCTCGTCTGCGACCGTTCAATGGCATGAGCGCGCAAAAGATGAATACGGGTCGACCAAAACTGCGCCATGAATTGGCCTGCGGTCAAGGTATCCGGCTTGGTATGCAGCGATTCCATGAACATGCGCTGCAGGTTCGGATCCGACTTAAGTAATGACTGTTGTAGCTCCACATCTCCTTTTAGCCACTTGTCGTCATCCCAGCTGCTCTGAGACGAGACGGCACTTGCAACCGCCATGGCCGTTGACATACCTTCGCCCGCGCCTGGGGCAGGAGGCGGTGTTGGCGCAGCTTGAGCCGTTTTTGCTGCTTGAATGGCCGTGCTGAGTGCATCTTTAATGGCGTCCGCTTCCGCGCGCGCGTTGGCTCCAGCGGTAAAGTTGAAGACGTACTGTTCGGGGGAATTATCTGGCGCGTTTGGGGGAAGCACAAAAATCTTCAGCATGACTTTTGGGTTACTTGCTGGAGTCTGTTGTAGATCTATCCATGGCCGGTCAGTAAAAGTCCCGCCTCATCTCAGAAGAAGCTTCCGGTGGCCAAGGTTGCCTCAGATGTCAAATGTTTTCCACCAGGTAGGGTGAGCTGGTACGCACTCGTGATCTGAGAAACAGACAGCGTGATCGCTCCCGTCGCACCACCAGCCGCCGGGATCCAAGAGATCGACTGGCGATCCTGGGACATGGTCAAGGTGCCATCTTTCTTCTTGTATGCCGCCGACCCGCTCGGAGGTGCCATCGTCTTCGAACTCGACAGCGTCCACTGTCCAGGGCGGCGTATCGGAATCCACCCATCGGGAGGAAGAAGTCCCAACGGAGAATCCGAGAGTGGAAGGTCGAAAGCCTTCTCAACAGGGGACCGCTTTGGGGTGGGAGAAACTAAAAAAAAAAAAAAATAGAAGGTATGACGGTCTCGCGGAGAAATTGAAGCTCCGCACCAAGTTCAGCTTTGAGCATGACCGCATCAACACGTGACCCCGTCCGCCTTTAACCCTAAGTTCCCCATCGCGATGCATTAACCTACGCTCAGGTAGAGAACACTATTACTCTCACGGGTCCAGCAGTATACTACTAATTATAGTCTGAATGCATTAGAAACCGACGCGGCCTGAGTACAGTAATATCAGAAACAGCCATCCTTCGCCTTGCAAAACCAAAACGAATGAGCAAAAACTCGTTATAACCCAACGCAACCAGAAGAATAGGGGATATCGCAAACACCAGAAAATACGCAAAGACAAGACCACACTCAGACAAATCCTAACGCTCAAAAGAACATCGCTCCCGCTATGCAGACAACTCAAGCAAAAGCTAATCATGAGGCATAACATCGAATCCACCGACTTTTGATCGCTTATGCTTCCCTGTACAATTTGCCCGGATATAGCCCAAACAAGAAGCGCCCATGATAGGAGAGGAAATAGATGAACAAAGCGCGCCACCAACAAAGCGAAAATTGTAACAATGTAGGGTATTATCATTTATCCCATGGAAGATTTGGACAGCAAGAAACGCAACTTGCCTGTCCTTTAACATGCCCTCATTTTTTGAACATGTAGTGCCCATAGATGCCGCCGACCTCCCCAACGGCAACGGGAATCTTTCGTGCTCCCCACCATCTGGCACCCATCTTCCAGGAGCGAGAGCCGTCGTCGGGGATTTGAAGGGGCATAGAAGCTGGGTCACGGACGTACCATCCCCGCCGGCCGAGCTCACGAACGGTCCAGCCGAGGGAAGTCCGGGCATTCTTGGTTCTCTCGCGCAAAGGAGCGATCAGCTTCTCATGGAACTCGATGACCTGTAGCGGATAGCTTTGCTGCGAAAGCAGCAGGCACGAACTGGGGTTGAAGACTGTTCCCAGCGACAACTGAGGAGCTTTGGTGAGATCCAGATAGCAAAGCGTTGGCGGGACCCATTCCTCTTCTTTGACTTCCGCGGATCCATCCACGTCCATGTTAGCCCGGGGTGGTGGTTTAAAGAAAAGGTTTATATCCTGAGCGGACAATTCGGCCGAACCGAGTCCGAGCTCTTCCAGATGTTTGGTCAAGGGGATCAGCGCTTGCGCGTGGGCCGAGTTGACCTTCGCACCTCCAATGTTGAGGGAGCGAAGTGTAGAAGGTAACTTGGGAAGTAGCGCATGGACGTCGTCTTCTTCCAGAAGTCGGTTCCGCGTAGGGTCCGTCATCAGGTTCAAGGAAACCAGGGAGTCGCACACAGCCGGATGAGTGGTCAAGAACTCCACTACCCTCGATCCCTGCAGACGAGTACAGCGAGACAGGCTCAGGTGGGTGATTCTCGCCGTTTTCGGGATCGAGAACAGGGCCGCCTCACTAATCTGTGTGTGAGTAACATCCAGGTGAGTCAGGTTCACCAAGCGGGGCAGAAGGGCCTCAAAAACCCACGCGGGGAGACTGCTGCACTCGTGCAGCGAGACCCTTCTCAGGTTTGGCATCGCCAATGGCAGACCAGGCCCCGTCATCAATGCTTCCTGAAAAACTGCCGAGAAGGACTGGGTTGAGCAGCCACAGAAATCGACGGCGAAGAGGTTCGGGAGGCCGAAGAGCAGCTTCTGCACCACTTCCACACTGAGGTCACCCTCCACATGCTCCTGCAACAAGCACTCCTTCAGGTTGGGCAAAAGGTCCAGACACTTCAGCAGCGTCTTCGAAGTAAGGTTTTGGATCTCGGCGTTCATCTGCTTGGTGCGTCCCAAACCTACCGAGGTGAAATGGGAGAAGTCGAGGCGACGAACCAACGTGCCCAACGCGGGATAATGAGACATGTGGTTGAGCGCCTTGGAAAAGATGACGGAGTGCGGGAAGGTCATGTTCCTGTACAACACCGCGAGGGTGGCTGCGTGCAACGTCCGGGAGGCCAGCAGGCACGAGATCAGGTCCACGTTTCGTGGCGTGTACCCGTTGGGGGGGACGTCCAACGCCAAGCATGATATGATTTGGTCTAACAGCGGTTCATTAGCAGACCGGTATCACGACCGCAGCAGGACGGAGTCCGCACTTACCGAGCACTTCGGAGGGAAGGGTCTCAAGACGAGACAAGCCAGCGGCCGGTTTCGGCTGTTCCACCTGCAATGTCTTAGTAGGTGGCGGATTTTTTACGGGCGGCGGAGATGATTCCCAGGCCCAGCCGCGGGCATGCATATTACCGAGAGCCCGCAAATCGCTGTAGCTCCTACTGAGACTCTTTCCACCTAGTCTGATCTGCTTCCAG